CCGGGACACAGCAGCTGCACGCGCTGCGCGCGGTAGCGATCGGGGATGCAGCGGAAGTCGGGCCCGCTCGGGCGCCACCACTTGCCGCGGCCGATGGCGTTGGGCAGCAGGCGCGCCGGGCCGCACTGGCCCGAGCACACCAGCTCGGTGACCGGCTTGGCGCTGCGGCACGGCCCGTCCGTCACGTGGCGGGTGAAGTGCAGCTCGCGGCAGCTGTACTCGGAGGCGTCTGCGGAGAGAGTCGCGCGTGAGGGCGGCCACCCAGCCAGTCTCCCTCCAAGCCACCCCCGCATTTTCCAATCCTGCCTCTCCCTAGCCTATGAGGATCTATTACGGGAAGGGCCCAGGTGTCCTGAACCTGGTGAAAAGATCACTGGCCTATCCTCTCCCCCTAGAACTTTGGAGCCAAGTGACTGCTTTCAGTTTAAATATCAGCTCCATCACTGTGTGACCCTTGGCAAGCTACTTAACCTCTCTGTGCTTCCTATCTGCAAAATGGGTTGTCTTGAGGATTCAGTGAGTAAATCCATTACATATATAATGCAGAGGACACCAGCAGGCACATAGTAAAAGCTGGACACGTGGGCTGTTAATGATGTTATTATTAGTCTTCTCTTTGCCAGGCTTAAGTCCTTTCTGGCCGCAGCAGGGTAGGTACTAGGCACACACTCTAAATGCCTTTGCCTTTTCCCAAATTCCTTTTCCAGCCTATTGGGAAGGGTAAGGCGGGGTGGAGAAAGGAGTAGGGGTTAATTGAAGGTAATAAATCAGGGCAGCTCCTGAGGAGGGGAGGGCTGGAAGGGGAGGAGGCTGAAGTCATTAGACTTGAAAGGAGCCGAAGGCAGCATGTCCAGCCCCCTGGTTATCGCTGTGGACACTGAGGCCAAGAGAGGGAAAAGCTCTTGCTCAAAAGGCAGAGCTGGTCTCCTGAGTCTGCTCCTCCGGAGCTCCAGCCCTCTCAGCTCCCACAAGGGTGGAAGCTGTGTGCCCCAGCACCTTGGGAGGCTGGGCTAGGGATGAGGGTGGGGGGCTGCTTTTTACTACAGTTACTTTCCTATCAGAGGGGGACCCGGCTCTGACTGAAAATCTACAGCTTCAGCTACCACAAACAGTTATTAAGCATCTGCTGTGTACCAGGCACTCTGCTGGGTACTTCTCTTCCTGTGGCACAGGTGGCACAGGCTTGCTTCCTGGGTAGGGGAGAGCTGGGTAAGGTCTGGCTTGGAAGACACCTCAATTGTGTCTCCTGCCATCGGCTTTAAACAGCTGGTCCTCACCTGAGCACTTGTCCACCCCCAAGGGTCTCATAGGGACAGTTCTAATGTGACATGAAGGGCTGAAAAATAGTCCTAAGACTAAAACCTGAGAGGAGGCAGAGAAAGCCAGGCCCCCACCCCTTGCAGACCAAGCAGAGCAGGAGAGATGTGGGAGTTGCCTTCCTCCCACGACTGGCCTTCTGGTTTCTGGGCTGGTTTGGCATCCTCACCCTTGCTCCCAGGCCACAAGGGTAGTGTGTGCGGGCGGCCTTTTTGCCCAGGAAAGGAGGCTTTGAGGCTTTCCAAGAATAGTAGCCTTAGGTCAGGCACTTCTTCTGTAAAGGGCGACTTTGTTTTGAGCACGTGGCTTCCTCTGGGACTGTGGCTCGCATGGGAGCCCGGGGAGGTGGAAGTCTTGTACTTGGGTCCCCAACAGCCCTTTGCTTGCACTTAGTTGACCCTCTCTGGGCTGGAGTAGGGAAAAGGCACTCCTGCCCTCTGGATGTGAAGACTCATGGTCCCGCCAGCCTTCTCTGGGGGTGCCCTTTGCAGAGCCCCCATTCCCAGATGGATGTAAAGCAGAGTAGGATGGGATGCAGGAGCCTGGGCAGTGGGCTCATCCCCCACCTGGACAATGGCCAGAGGGCCTCACTCTGAAGTGTCATTCCAGCCCCCGCCCCCACCCATTCCTGCCAGCTGCAGAGCCAGCTGTGCACACTGCCCCCCAGGCTTCTCTGTGCAGACCTGACCAGGAACCCAGGTGTGCCTTCCACTGGGACCACTGCCTGCATGCTAGGATCAGGCTCCCACCCCAGGAAGGAGGCAAAGCTGGGCCTGGGGGTGGGGATTCAGGACAGATGGTGCCGCCTGCACCCATGCCCTGCACAGAGGATGCTGCCTCCCCTCCAGGACCTGGACCCAGCTGCTACCAGGTCAGAAGCTAAAACTACCTGCAGTTCCCATTCCTTCCAAGTGTCAGCTTGCTGGGTAGATCATGGGTAGTGGGAACTGAAGGGGTGCATCTCAGGTATCCGTTTCCCACCGCTTTGCAGGAGTTTGCTCTGGCTTTTGTCCCCAAACCCCCGACAAGGGCTGTCTTGTAATTGGATCAAACTGGGTTGAAATCTCAGCTCTCTCCTCACTAACTGGTGACTTAATCTCTGAAGCCTCCGTTTCTTCACCATCAACTTGGGAGTTCCCTGGGGGATGGTTCAGGCACAGCCCAGGAGGTGTCTGCATCCAGCAGGTGCTCATAGATGTCAGGCTCCTTGCCCTGTCCCTCCCCAGTGGTGTCAGCAGCAGGACTCGGCTCCTCTATTCTCAGGAGGGGATTCTTTGAAATCTCCTTTGTGAGCCCCTAAGCCTGTCCCAGCACTGTACTCTCACCACCTCAGCCTCCTTCCTGCTCCAGGCTCTCACTGCTGGCCCCTCTACCAACCTCACGCCCTTGCACTTGACTTCCAAGTCTACGCTGGCATGCCATCAGTCCCCTGCCTCCACTGGTGCTGGCGGCAGCTGACAGTCTACCCCAGTCTTCAAAACCTCCCAAAGAGGACCCTCCCAGGCCCCTTATGCTAAAAATGCTTTCCTCCACCTCCTACCTTTGGTCTCAAAGGGGTGGTGGGGAGGCCTCCCTCCATTCTCCGCCCGGTTCATGGTCTTGTTGTTCAGCTCTGGTGGAGGCTCAGGGTACTCGCCCAGCTCAGGAATGATTTCCGTGGCGTCGTTCTTGAAGGCCTGCCACCCCTGGCCCTCGACCACGCGGAAGGCTGCATGCATCAGCAGGCAGACGAGACACAGGGCAAGAGAGAGCTGCATGGTGCCAGCCGGAGGAGGGCACCCGGCTTTCCAGTAGCACAGGCTCTGGTCCCCAGCCCGGACACGTTGGCCTTTTTAAAGCCCCCTCTGCCTCATGCCAGCCAATGAGGACGGGCTGAGGCAGGGCTGGTCCCATGCTTCCCTCGGCCCAGGGGGAGGGAACGGGGTGTGCTCAGATCAAGCCCTCCCCCAAAGACTTCTCGAGCTCAGAAATCTCCCAAATTGCGGCTGGTGCTCCCAGGTGACCCACAGTCAGGGGGGCGTGTGAGGCGAGCCTGCACTCAGCGCCTCCCACTTCTAGGCGGCTGGGGTTTCCAGATATCAAAATGAGCTCCAGCTCCTAATCTCTACCTCCCTGGGCCCTTCCGGCTTTCTCAAAACAAACTTGGGGCCAGCTTAACGAAGGAAATTGCAGCTCTAAGTCCTCCACGGGTCTGAGCCCAGCTGATCCCATTTCTCGGGTCAAGTTTATTTGTCATCCCACCCCCGAAAATGGCCCTCGGGTATCTATTTGGCCCCCATAGACCCAGGCCAAGGCAGAAGGATGCTTTTTAAGAAATATCATTGGTCCCAACTCTGTGAGGCTCAGCATCCATGATTCTAACTGAGAAAGCCCTCTCGGCATCCTCTGGAAGAGAAGAGAGGAAACTGGAGGGCCGCAGTGAGGGTGCCCACTTGGCCAGGGGGGCAGGGACGCTGGTTTCAAGGCCAGGATGAGACGTCAACAGGCCCTGGTGATGGAGACAAGGAGGAAACCTCAGCTCATGATCCTTGGGGATCCTGCACTTGGTGACAGGCACTTCTTGGCAGGCTGATCTGCCAAAGGCAGTTATTTCCGGGGCCAGGCTGTGGGTAGGAGCAGAGAGCACAAAATTCCTTTTCTTAGCAAAAGTGAAAGCCAGCATTTTTAGTGCTGACATTTTTTTTTCTTGTCTCTCAGCCCATTATATTTTTCAAAATGAGCTTCAAGTCCTATATGGCAAGTCCTATATGGAAAATATATTGGTGCATAGCATGGGGTGCATTCTGTGAAGCCATCCCAGGTCCAGCTAGCCACAAAGAAACCAAAAGGAATTGCTACCTCTGCCCTGGAGAAGAATGAGGGGCCTCAGAGGGGTAGAGGCGTGGGGGAAGAAGGTTCACACCTGAGGTGCAGGAAAAGAAAGGAGGGCCAGGGGAAGCTTTCATTGCAGATTGTTTGAGGAGCCGCACCCGTTCCTAGCCCCGAAGGAGGCTGGGAAGAGGGCTGTGGCCCAGGTCCCCTTGGTATTTTCACTGAGCAATGAATCAGCCCAACCCACCTGCAGAGCCTCTGCAAAGCCTCTGCCACCTGCCTTGACTTGTAAGTCGCTGTGTCCATCTGCGGCCGTCTGTCCCTTCTTCCCATCATCCATCACTCGACACATGAATGCAGCTGCTCTGACAGTTTTACAAGCCAGACAGAAGCCCCTGCAGGAAGGGCCCTCTCTGATACCTGCTTCCTAAGTCAGTTTCCTTCAGGGCAGACGAAAACAGCTGTGGCCATTGTTGGGGGTGATCTATCTCTCCCCACAGAGCTGGCGGTGTTGTGAGAAGCCCTCCGAGCCCCCTCCCCATGTCTGTGACCCTCTGGCCTCTTTTTCCTTTGCTCTGGAATGTGGATTGTTAACCCTCTTGTGGCCGGACAACTGTCTTTTTGCCCTGGACTTCGGAGAGGGCAGTTCTGATGCCTGGATTCCTTGAGCTGGTGGGATTGATGCTAGAGCGCCCCCTGCTGTTTGGACCTGCCTCCCATCCACAGGAAACCAAGACCATGGGGACCATCCTTGGAACAATTATGTCACCTGCTGGAGACAGAAGGAAGAGCCAGCGACCAGAGAATGGCGAGGCTCAGGATTTGTTACTTTATTTGAAACTGAAGTAATGTCTGGGGTGGGGGGAAGAATCCAGTGGACTTGACCCTCCAAAATATTTCCATTCTTTTGAATTACTCTCTGCCAAGGTATAACCTGTGCTTTTGATAGAAGGGCTCAGAGACAATCTGCTATGATGCCACCTGCTTTTTCACTCAAAACTAATTCATTCAAACTAGTATTTGTTAGTCCACAAACTTGTCATTGTTCAGAGCCAGACAATACTCTCTGGAGTTAAACCCCTGGGGTTTAGCTGATTCCTGTTGTGGGTAGTTTAGGTTATTTCTCGTGCACCCCATCCTCAGTAGGGATGCCATGAACATCTTTGGAAAAAGTCATTTTTCAAATTAAACTTTTTATTTTGGGGCCACTGTAAATTCACATGCACTTATAAGAAATAATACAGAGAAAATTCCCTGTTCCCTTTGCCCAGTTTCTCTGAATGGTAACACCTTGCAGAAACCAAGATACTGACATTGATACAATCCACCAGTCTTATTCAGATTTTCTGGTTTTGTTTGTATGTGTGTGTTTAGTTTTATGTAACTTTATCACACATGTTGGTTCAAATAACCACTATCACTGCCAAGACAAAGAACTCATCTATGCCTGCAAAGACCCCTCTCCTTGCCCTTTTATAATCATGCCCTCCTTCTTCAGTCCTAACCTATGATACCGCTAATCTGTTCTCAATTTCTATAATTTTGTCATTTCAACATTTTGTCATTTTTATATAACTATGTCATATAAATGGAATCCATCAGGATGTAACCTTTTGGGACTGGCTTTTTTCACTCAGCATAATTCCCTGAGATTCATCTGAGTTGTTGCAGGAATCCACAATTTGTTCCTTTTTGTTGCTGAGTAGTAGTCCACGAAGTAATTTTTTTTTTTTCTTTTTAACTTAAGGGTTATTTCAGAAGTGAATGCTGGGTCTGAGAAGGTGAACAGTTTGCTACGTACTGCAGGTCCCCAGGCCCATCAGTGACAGACAAGTGAGCACGTGCCTGAGTTTGCTAAAGCTGCTGAAACAAAGTCCCACAGACTGCGTGAATTAAACAACAGAAATTTTTTGTCTCTTGGTTCTGGAGGCTGAAGTCAGAGATCAAAGTGTTGGCAGGGTTGGTACCTTCCAATGCCTGTGAGGATGAGTCTATGTTTCTCCCCTAGCTTCTGGGGGCTTGCTGGCAATCTTTGGCATTCCTTGGTTTGCAGAAGCTTCACGCCAACCTCTGCCTTCATCTTTACACAGTGTTCTCCCTGTGTGCGCATCTATGTCCTAATTCCCCCTTTTTATAAGGACATCAGTCATTTTGGATTATCGCCCACCCTGATGACATCATCTCAACTAATTACATCTGCAATGGCTTTACTTCCAAATACGGTCACATTCTGAGGTACTTGGATGCAACATGCGAATTTTGGAGGGACCCAGTTCAACCCATGACAGCATGTGTCTCCACAAGGCTGCCAACCCTGAGGCTATTAAATTTTTTTTTAGCTGAATTTAATGATTTAGTAGTTGAAACTAAACTTCTAGCCAGGCTGTTTTTCTACATGATGATTGACTGGTTTTTATGACAAGCTGCCTGTTCATAAGTCCACTTGTCAAGCATTTAATGAAACAAAGTCTCCTACCAGGCACAATGTAATGATATATGCTCCCCATCCGGGAGCTCTGGTACCAGGGGAGGAAGAAATTCTTCACCCCGTTGACTCCAATACCAGGTAGAAAGAGATTGGTGCCACAAAGAAAAGGTTCAGATATATTCTTTTAAAAGGACAAAGTATTATGGGCCTTTAGAGAACAATGTCTTCCCCTTGGGGTGGATCTGGGATCCTCACAGGAAGACGTGGCATTTGGACCAGACTCTCAGGGACAGGCCAAATTTGGAAAGCGAATGATGCTCCTCTGACTCCTCAGATTGTAGAATATTTGATGTGAAAGGAACCTCAAAGGTAAGTTAGTTTCACTCTCTATTTGGTTCCCATGCCCTCTGTTTCTAATTCGTGGAAACTGAGGATTCTTATTGGCTGCATTTTTAAATAGATTTTGCTGCCACAGGTCAGTGGTCACAATGGAGGATCTGGATTTGGAGGGCGAGCTGTTTATAGGCAGTTGCCTGCACTGAGGGAGGTCTGAGTCACCATGTCTTTATTCAGAGTCTCAGCACAGGTGGAAATCTACAGGGACCGCCCCCAAAGAGCTTGCGTCACTCACCCTCCTGCTTAGAATAGGTAAATATCTCCTCCAGCCTTAACAGGATAAAATCTCTGCTTCCTTCTGCCTGGCAGACGAGGCATTTTAAGGGGGGGCACTTACTCATCCCCAGAACCTCCCCATCCTTCAGGACGGCCTCTATCTGCAAACCCTTGTTAAAAATGGTAAAGACAACTTTATTTAAGTGGGTACCATTGTGATAAGTAGAGAGGGCACTGCAACAGGGTTGTGTTGTAAGGGAGAAAGATTGGGCTCAACTCTGACTACGAGGAAAATAGGAATTTATAGCCAAGTAGCAGGGTGGGGTCAGTGGATGGAAACATCAGGGATTAGGGTGATTCCGGCTAATGGGACCTAACAGGATTCTTGCTAAAGGTAGGCCAGGATGGTCAGACATCACCTAGGGGATGGTGGGGGGGTGCGGAACCCGATTAGTGCTTGAGGATGATCAGATATGGAGGATGGGGGGTTCTGGCTAAAGTGACTTGGCGGGATTCTTGCTAAAACTGGACAATAGAGAGACAAGCATGGAAGTCCAAAAGTCAAGGTGCAGCTGAAAAAGAGCTCAGAGGAGCCTGACTAAAGTCGACCAGAGAAGACGGTCACCCTGTGTGTTCAGAGACATCTCCCCCTGCAAAACCGAGCTGCACCCACTCCACACCTCCCTCCTCCTCTCTCTCCCCTCCCCACTCCTCAGGGTGGCCGCCCAGGTTCTCTGGGCACCAGGAACGTTGAACTGGAAGGTCCTCTAGTTTGTGGGTTTTCAAACTAGGTCTCTCAAATTCCAGATTTCCACAGAGATGTCTTACAGTTAAAAAAATAGGTACATTTCAATTATTTTTAAGTATAATAACAAAACATAATAAAAACACACACATCACCTAAATGTAGTCTACATCTGCTTTGAATGAACCGGGAATGACCCACTCATGGTGTTGCCTTCAAATTAACTCACTTTGGTATAGTCTTCAGAAATGGAATCTGTGCATTTGAACTTCGCATAAATGGGTCATCAATTCAGAAAGCCACAGCTCAGAGGCTGTCTTTTTTAAAATGAGGCTTGGGTATGTCCACACCCACGAAATTACACAAGGGAGCACAGGACACCCGCCCTTCGTTAGCTCTGGACCACCGCAGTGGACTGGTAGAAATTAACTGGATACAAAGCTGGTAAAACACTGCAATTATCATTCACAAATCTCATTTTATACTTGGTGCTCATTAAAACAGCCTGCACCTTTACATTAAGAATATACAGAAATCACAATGCATTTACACATAATAGAATAGCTGTTAAAATAAATAGGACTATAAGAAATGACGGGTATCTTGTTAAGCAAAAAAAGCAATGTGCAGAACATTTTCCATTTATGGGGGAAAGGATATCTCTACATACACACACGTATCCATATATGTGCACTGACATACACATGGCACTTTTCTAGAAGGATGTACTTAGTAGTGGCTTCCCCTGGGGGAGAGGCATTGAAGACTCACTTTTTGTTCTAAGCCTTTTGTATTGTTTGGATTTATTACTGTGTATATAGAGTAGTACCTTTTAAAATAAAATGTTTTTTAAGTTACACTCAAAAACCAGTTTTACACATCAATGCTGTGCCTTAAGATTTTGTGTAAGAATATAAAGATTATGTTGCGCAAGAAGTTTGACAAATACTGAGCTAGTCTAATTGTCTCCTGCTGCAGACAGGGAACTGGAGACCAGAGAGGCTCTTTCTGTCTGGAGAAAAGGTACCCAGACTCGTCTAAGTTTTTTATTTAGAGGGAAAAAAAGACAATGCTTACCATAAAGGAGTGAGGGCTAATGGAGGAATTTATAAGACATCTGGGAGCAGGGGATGCTTTGAGACTGCTTCTTTGCAGAATCATTCAAATCCTAAAATGCCACCCAATCATCTTCATGTGAGGCCACCCTCAGACTATCATCCCTGTCCCTTCCTTCCTAGGAACACAAGTCTTACCTCCCTCATTTGGTATGGGCCAATCTAATCAAGAAAAGTCTAGCCAATTATACTGCAATGAAGCTGAAATTTTTAAAAAATCAAATAAATAAAAAGATTATTCCTAACACAGACAATTTCTGGTATTGGAGAGATGTTCAACAAATATTTACTACATAAATATAATCACCACAGAAATTATAACTAGCTCTGGAGGCCTACTTTTTAAACGATGACTATTTTTAAAATTTAGAAAAAGCAAACATAAAAGCCAAGCATAAACACATAAAAGAAAATCAGCTATGATAAGAAGGACAAAAATGGCCATTTCTCTTAATGTAAGACATTTATTTGGTTACAGTTTTAGTGTTTTAACACTGATTTGTGATACAACAGACATGAAACTTACTTTTTTAAAAAATCAATTAAATACCTTCCCCTTTTCTGTTCAGAAAATTCACACTTGCACAATCAAATTATCCTAAAAGCTGACAGGAGGTAAGTTAAGCTTCCAACCAAGCAGCTCTCTCAACCAGAGATGGCCTCTCTTTCCTATCAGAATAAAATCTTAACTTGGAAGGACCATCATTATTGGGTCTTCAGTGATTCTTGATGCCGGTTTTACGACAGAAAATTTCCTGCGAGAAAGCTAATATCTTCATATTTTAAGATCAGTGCTTATTTTATTAAAACATTAGCATCTTAACATTAACTTGTGACCCAAAAGGCACCAACATTCCTTTTCCAAGCATCCATCACCATGGATGGAACATGACGCCACCTGCTGGTCATCACACTGTTACACACCCTATAATTTCCCAGTGGTATTCAAGGTCAACGGGGCTTCTTAGAGAACCGTACAGTGTCAGAGTCCAAAGGGGCCTTAGAGGTCTTCAAGATGAGTCCCCTTGTTTGACAAATGGTGGTTTCTGTTCTCCAGCTAACTCAGAGTGGCAGGGGAGCAGACCAGCCTGTGGAAGGCATACTGCTTTAGAACTGAGAAGAAACCATTTGGTGCTCTAATCTGGCCTAGATCAGGGTCTACTAGTCAAAGAAAAGGATCGGGTCAGAGGAGGGGGAAGGGGCACCCTGAGTTCCTATTCCATTACTTCCCAGGGGTAGAAGGCGGTCCAGAGACAGCTTTCCACTCACAGCTGGGCACGTGTTGGCTCTTACACAATTTGATTTTGCTTTACTCAAAGAACTAGAAGCTACATCTCATAAAGTCAACATGGAGATTCTAGGACCAAGGACTATCCAGAAATCCCAAGTTATCAGCATAAAAGTAGCCCCAGAGTGAAGGCAGTAATTCTCCCCGTGGCCTTTTCTCCCTCATGTCCCCACAAAGAGGCTGTCAAGAGGTCCCAGTAAACTAACCTAAGGAGCTGTGCTATCCTGTGGGGTGACCACCGCCTGGGCGTGGAGGTGGGCAGGGCCCCAGCCCCAGCTCCTGAGCTTCTTCCAGAAGTGGAGAAGAAAGCTCTGACTCAGGGAGGCTACGGGTCTCCTGGAAGAGCCCCACATTCCAACCCAACTGGGGACCTGCGCTTTTTACTGCCTTTCCCTGGAACAGAGCCGCTCTTGACACCACAGCTTGAATTGTCCTCTGTCCACAGAGCTGACTGGCCTTTGTGAACATGGGCTGGGTCAAGGGCACGTGCAGCACACCTGGACACACCTGGGGAATCACTTCTTGAGGATGAGTGTAGAATGAGAGAAAGAATTCTGCTTCAGAGAACAGCAAACCTGAAATCTTGCCTCAGCTCTGCCTTAGAGCTGAGCAGCCCTGAGCACCGCACCCCTGATCACTCTGAACCTTGGTTCCTTTTTTTTTAAATGTAACAGTACATGGATAAGCTCTACCAAGTGACTAGGGTTATTGTGAGGATCGAGTCAGATTAAGCGGGAGAGTTATCTGAGAACTGGGAGGCACCCAGTTGGGAGGGTGGCCACTTCACTTAAGTGGGTCTATCTGGGCAACCTGGTATCTGAAAAAGAAGACAGATCCTAATTTGTTCAGGGCTGCTGTGGTCACAGAGAAAAGGGGACAACCAGGCTGTGAGGCGCTGCCCCTACTTTTGCCCGGAGAGAGCTCATCACCCCTGTGAGGGAAGCCCCGGGGCACACCTGCATCTCCCCATCCCAGCCAGCAGCTCCCGGGCAGCCCTGGAAAAGGCACATTCCCTTCCTCGACATGTTAACGCTACCTGAATTGAAATTCAAAACTGAATTTTAAATATTCAACAAAAGTCCCTGATATTTCATTTCAGGTAAGACTCCTCTGCAAATCCTTGCAAGGGATCCGACCACAAATTCAGGCTTCTGGGAGCTGGATACACCCACCAGAACAACGTCCTGCATATATTTGGTGTTCAAAAAAAAAAAAGGTTTAACTCCACACACTTTTCTGGGACACCTATGGGCTAGACACCCAGGGCAAAGCTGTGAGGATCACCTCGCCATCACCTGCCCTGGTGACAAGTCTGCCACGTCCTAACAAGACTGTGTTCAAAACGAAACTCCTATATCCTGGCACACGTGCACACCCGTGTGAGTGAATGCTAGAGCGTTCTGATGTCATCCTAAAAAAGAATCCTGACAAAGGCTGTTTCTTTTTGTTTGTTTGCTCTGCCACCAATAAAGGCTCCACTTGGATGCTGTGCCATGTTTCCCTTCTGCCTCGCTGAGCCATTTTTGCTGCCAAGGCTCCGGGATCTTTCCTGGCACCAGAGAGCTGTAAGAGCTACCTGTGAGCGGCCAAGGTGTGAGCCTGGGCCTGCTCATCTCCCTGCTCGTCCAGTCTCAGGCTCTGCTGCTCACACGCATGCTCACACACACACACACACACACACACTATAATTGGCCAACTTCCTCCTCCTGGTCTCGGAATAGCAACCAAGACAAGAAGCAGTGAGCACGAGTGGCTTGGGCTCGCCAACACTATAATTCAGGACAAAACCCTTGCAATTCTCCAAATGGTGGGGTTTTTAAATAGGCTGGACTTCAACACCCTGTTTTCTAAAAAAGAAAAATAAAACTCGGCCCAAGGCATAGCTCTTCTAACAGACCAAGTGACCGAGAGCCGAATAGCCCAAACAGGTGGATTCTGAACTCAAGCCTCCCAAGGATTCACATTTTTAAAACTATTGATTTAGGAAAGTCCTCCTGGGGGATGTGTTTGCCCACTCCAGGGCCCCTTTGTTTCAGTATCTTTAATCCTAAGGAAATCATTAAAATACAGTCTCTTCTTGGGAATTTCCACCTCCTGATCACTGACCCCGAGCCAGCTTCAGCCCTCGGGATGTGCCTCTGCCTACAAGCAGGATGTGGACGGCTGTGAGGAGACGGGGAGACACACACGGTTGGGGGAGAGGGGCCCGCGTTTGCATAGTTCCTTTACAGGGCTGTGGCCCCCCCTCATGAGAGGGCCCAGGGGTGAGGGGTGGGGAGTGACGGGTGGAGAAGGGCAGGACGGGCCCCTGTGAGCATCTCAGACCTCTTGCCCTGGGTCATCCGGGAGAAGCACACCTGTCCCAGGCCATCCCCCTCTGCGTCCCCACCTCAGGGTGAGGACATTGCAAACTGCAGGCACAGGTCACACCAAGGACAAGAATGCCCTCCTCAGCAAGCTTCTCTCTATGCTCCCCGGGGGAAAAATGGCCCAGGGGTGTGTTGGGACAGACTTGTGGGCAAGTGCCTGGTGATGCTGGGAGCAGGGTACACTGTGTTTCCTAAACATGGCAGCTTGGGACACCTCCACCAGGGCCTCCCCTGTCCGTCCTCTAGAGAAGAGGCAGTGGGGGTGCCCTAGAGTTTCAATTTCCCTTCCTTGACTAGTCTGTCATTGAGCTGGCAGAGCTGGGCCAGGAAACCATCGTTGGGGCCGATCTCACGGTTCTGCCTCACGACGCTCAGTGCAGACTTGACATCCATCTTCTGACGCATCATGAGGTACGCGATGACCAGCGTTGGTGAGCGGCTGTAACCCTCTCGGCAGTGGACCAGCACTCGGCCTGCAAGAAATAGGGTGACACAGTGAGCTGCCCATCCAATCACACCACGACTCCAGGCAAAGCTCTTCCAGGAAATGCAACTGAAAACGACAACGCCAGGCCACTGTGTACCCACCAGAACGGCTAAGATGAAAATGACAGAAGATCCAAAGCGTTGGCGAGGATGTGGAGCGGCTGGGATTTGGACATGTGGCTGGCAGGGGGGTGTAAACTGGCACACTGCTTCGGAAAACTGTGGGGCGGGATTGACTCAAGCTGAACACATGCCTCCCCCAGGACCCAGCAATTCCATCCCAGACCCACGCCCTGCGGGACTGCACACTCACACTTGCTAAAAGACACACACCAGGATGGTCACAGGCATGATATTCATAATAGCCCTAATGGCAGAATAGATAAATAGCATGAACAATCTACAATTTCCCAGCTACGACATGGGTGCAACACACAAACAGGATGTATGTGAGCCCACAGAGTAGGAGAGCCAGCCAAAGGGATCCAAGCTGTTAGAAGTTTGGATAGCAGTAAAGGGGCTGGGGAACTTGAGACTGGGAGGGAATGTGTCGGGGGGTTTCTGGGGTGCTGGTCATGCTTCATTTCTTGATCTGGGGGCTGCACTGATCCACACACTGTGATACGAGCACTTCTCTATATACAGTTTATCTTCTGATCAAAAGCAGAATCAGAAAACCACCCAAATATCCATCAACAGGTAAATGGATAAACCAACCTCGGTAAATCCATCCTCTGGGATGCTACGCAGTATTAAAAGGGCATTCCTGATACATGTGACAACACAGAAGAAACAAAATTATTACACGGAGTGAAAGAGGCCAGACCAAAATTGTACATACTGCGTAACTCCATTTATATCAAAGTCTCCAAAATGTACACTAATGTCCGGTGACAGAAAGCAGATCAGTGGTTGCTTAGGAACTGAGGGGAGAGGGCGGAAGGGACAGGCCACGAAGGGACATGAGGAGAATTTGCTGGGTGATGGATAAGCTCACTCTCCGGGTTGTGGTGATGGTTTCACGGATGTATACCTATGTCAAAACTTACCAAACTACTATGTGTAGTTTCCTGAATGTCAATTATGCCTCAGCACAGCCGTTTAAAAAATAAAAGGAACGTGCATGTCAAAAACAAACACAAGGACAAAAAAAATCACGACAAACACACAAACAACAGCACCTTCTCGTGATCCCCCAAATGGCCCACAAGGCTCTACTAAACCTGTCCTCCCCTCCTCTCCCTGCCCCCTGCACTCCAACCAGCCCCTCTTTTCCTAGGTGTTGACTCTAAGGTCATCGTCCCAGGAAGCCCTTTCCTGCCCACTTTCTAAAGCCACAAGCCCTTTCCCTTTACCCCTCACCCCCTCCTCCCTGCTTTAGCCACCCTCACCCCCTGGTGAGCCAGACATCTTTGTCATTTGTTTACTGTCATCTTCCCTTGCCACGTAAGCTCCACGAGGGCAGGGATGCCCGTCTGTTTTGCTCCCTGCTGCATTCCCCAGCATCTGGGGAAGGAAGGAAGGGATGTTGAGGAAAGGCCAGAGGTGTCATCAATGAAGTCCCCAGCTGTTGGGGCGGAGAGGCCCCGGCAGCCACAACTTCTAAAATATCACGCTGACCTGTCACCATTCGCGGGTAGTCTAGTCTCCAGGGTGAGGCTTACCAGGCCAACCGTCCACAGCCTCGACACCTTTCCAGGCTTTTTCTTACCTCTGTGCCTTTGCACATACTGTTCCCTCTACCTGGAACATCCTCTCCCTCTTGGCTACTTGGCAAACTCCTACTCATCCCTGAAGAGCCAAGCTCAAGGATTTCCTTTGTCAGCGTAGGGATATAGAACCCAAATCTCTGAAGCCGTGTGAATCTGGGTTTAAAGTTTAACTTGCTGGTTGTGATAGTTAAATGTATCGGCCTCGCTTCTCTATGATGCCAGGCTGCTTGGTCAAACACTAGTCTAGAAGGTATTTTGCAGATGTAATTAATACCTACTATCAGTTGACTTTAAACAAAGGAGATTACACTTGATAATGTGGGTGGGCCACATCCAATCATTTAAGGATCTTAAGAGCAAAAGCTGAGGTTTCCTGGAGAAGGAATTCTGCCTCTGCACTGTAGCACAGAAGTCTTACCTGAGTTTCCAGCCTGCCAGTCTGCCCTATGGATTGCAGCTTTACCAGCCACTGTAACTGTGTGAGCCAACTCCTTAAAATAAATAATACATATATGCTATTGGTTCTGTTTTTTGTTTTTCTATGACTCACCTAAACCCACTGTGTCTCAGTTTCCTCATCTGTACTAATAGTACTAATAGCACAAGATGGTTGGAAGATTAAAGGAAGTGACGTGTAAAGCCCTTAGGCTAGTGCCTGGCCGACACTTAATGAATAAATATTAGCCAACACTACGAGTCCTCTGGTGGTCCCGGTACATCTCCTCTCCTACAGCAGACCAGCCCTGTGGGACTGTTGGCCATGAAAAGATTACCCTCTGCTGCCAGAGCTGAGTTCCTGAAGGGCAAGGACTGTGGCGCATTGATTTTGGATGCCCTGCAATCTCTAGCATACACTAGGTGCTCAATAATATTTGCTGACCAGCCAAGTGAAGGATTACCCATCAACACCTCCACACGGGCATTGTTTTGAAGGGAGTCTGCTGGCCCAGAGTCAGACAGAGTCTCTTCTGTTCCTATCACCCTATCCCCCACAACCGGCCCTATTTCCCCAATGCTTCCCAAAGCAGGAACGGGGCAGGGAGTCCTCCACTTTCCTGCCCATTCACTCTCTGGCCAGTGGACCCAAAGTCTCCAGAGTAGGGCTTTCCCTGCCCCCTCTCAGGTAATGGGACCCTCTGCAGAGCAGCTGCCTCACCACCTAGAACCGATTCAGTATGCCCAGGGCTCACAGAGCCAGTGTGGAAGGGGAAGGTTCAAAACCCATCCTTTCAAGCCCCACCCAAATGCCACCTCCTCCAAGAAGCCTCCCTTGATTTTCCTGGCTGAAAGTGACTGCTGCCTTCTCTGAGCACCCCGGCTACTCCCCATAAGCTCTCTGAAGTGATGGGTCCCTGGCTCCCCTGAGCCCTGCACAGTGTTGGAGGCCAGGGTGTTTCTGTTGACTCACTTGGCCAATCAATCTTAGAAGCATTTATACTGGGCATGAGAACCCATGGAATTCATTTTTGTCACTGGTTTAGTAATGATTTCCAGTGTACCTGCTACATGCCCGATCTACATAAGGGGCTGGGGAGACAGACAAGGGGACACAGTGGACCCAGCCTGAGGGTGGGCTGAAAGGAAGAGAGGACACAATGCCCAGTGCTCGGGCACAAGGTGGAGTTTGCCAGAGGACAGCATGGGGAGAGGCAGAGAGAGCCTTCCCAACTAATGACCCAACCCATGTGGACTAAGGAAGGAGGTCACACATTTTCATAGGATGTTCCTAGTTGCCTGGAAAGAGGAAATCATCAGAGAGCTCTAGGTTCTCTGAAAGGATGATCAATCAATACACAGGAAGAGCAAAAGCCATCCCCCTAACTGGGCACCTCATTCTCTTCTACACGGGAGCTCAGTATAACTGGAGTGCAGCGGGTGACACATACGCGGGCAGGGAGGGCCATGAAGGGCCTGACATGAAGTCTACAGATTCTCCAGGTGATGAAACTTCTCTCCGGGGCTCCAAACATGTGAAAACCAGCCTCTAGTAAACTCTGGTCACTGGAACTCATTCCAGTGGGGAGGCTGCTGGGACCAGCAGCATCAGGGCAGCAGAGACAGGCTTGAAACAGGGGGATGGGGCCGATCACACCTCTGTGGGGGTGATTTTCCCTGGGAAGGTGTGGGGTGGGGAGAAAGGAAGAGGCTGGAGGAAGTAGCAGGAAGGTAAGGGCAGCTGCTGAGACAAACAAGCTAAAAGCAGAAAGGGCAGGTGGCCCCGCCTGCTAAGCTGATGTCTGCCCTCTGGCCTTCTAAGATTTCTTTCTGGAATGCCCTGCTTCCAGAGCTGGCATCTCAGCAGTCCTGCTTCAGTCTTACCTTATATTTGGGAGCTGTCGGAAGTTAAAATCTGGGGCAAAGTTTGCTGACTCCCGGCCCAAGCCAATAGCGGCTGCCCCACTCCCCTTGCCAGGTCTCCATGGGACCCAACACAAGCCAGTGAGACATGAGGGGGACTCCATCAGGGGGATTCGAGAGAATGTATTACTTGCTCTTAAGAAAAGAGAGGAAAAGAGGAGGAAGGGCTGGCTGCCTCATCTTTTGCTGCACTTTGTCCTATTGGGAGGTGGTAACCAGACCTGCCACAGTCCTCTTGGGACCATCAGGGGAGTCTCCATCAGTGCGGGAAAAGAGAGCAGGAAAGCACCGAGTCCCAAAGCCACCAGAGAGCTGCTGTATGCGTCACCCAGCCCGGGAGAGCTCCTTCGCCTCAGGATTTCTTATCATGGAAAATAATCAAGCTTCATTATTGCAGCTATCAGAATGGGGGGATGGGCTGGCAATCAATCCTCAGCCAAAGTCAAACCAAACACAAGGACCCCGGGGCTGCCACTGTGTGAAAGGTCTGTACATCTTGTGTTAATGTAGGGCCACATTAAGGTAAAGTAAAGGTGGCCCTGGTGGGCAGCCGGATAAGCAGAGAGAGAGAAACCTAAAGCTCTCAGTCATTCGACATAAGAGACAGGAAACAACAGGTTTTCCAAGAGGTGGCTTGTCACGGGCCGATTTTCTAGAAGCAATCCAGTCTCAGCTGCCTCCCATAGTTTCTGGGGCAGCAGGTTCCTTACCGGTCTTCTGAGCCAGGGCCTGGTCGATGAAGTCTGCCGCCTTTTCAAAGTAGGCGCTGAGGTTGAACTCTTGCGTGTCATTGGCCTTGATGCCCAGGTAGGTGATGCCGGAGTCCTTGTAGAAATTGGCATTGGTGTTCACGTGCATGAAGGACCTGCCTTCAGCCGCGTTCAGGACGTGGGTGATGCCCAGTTTCTGCAGCTTGGGGATGTCTTGAGCCACAGACCTGGACAGGAGACAGCAGCAGGGGAGGATCAACTGACCAGCCGCCCTTGTGGGAGGGAGATGGAGAAGATCCTAAGCCTCTTGGCTCTGAAAGGAACCCTCCACGCTCTGGCCCCTGCTGGCCTCTCCAGCCCCGTCTTATGAGCTTCTGCCCTCACTCCAGCCGGATTTAATTACCAGTGGCTGCCCCAAATAGACTGGGCACTTTCACATCTGTGCTGCTCCCTCTGCCTGGAATGCTCTTCTTCGTGGACATACACCCTCTCATTTTTCACCACCCTTGGCAGTATCTCCTCTTCTCCCCTCCATTTCATTCGACATCGTGCTCCCTGTACTGTGGTGCTGGTATAGCCTAGCGGTTAAAAATGAGCTCTGGAGCCAGGCTGCCTGGGTCTGAATCCAGCCCTGCAACCTTCAACTAACCAGCCAAGCAACCTTCAACAAGTCACTGAACTCTTCAGTGTCCCAGTTTCCCTGTCTGTAAAATGGGGACAATAGTACCTACCTCTGGGGGTGTTACGAGGATGAAATGAACTATTTTATGGACAGAATCTGATACTGTAGTCAGTGCCACTATTTTAATGCCTGAGTGTGCTTATCTGTTTAGATGTCTAGGTTGTGAGCACCGTGAGGGAGGGACCATGTCTGCTTAATGTCTGTATGCCCAGTATGTGCTATGGTACCTGGCACACAGTAGGTGCTGAATAAATAGGTGGTGAGTCAGTGAAGAATGAAATCAGCACATCCCAGGCAGCCTTCTTCCTTGGATTAAAAAGTGCAGCAGCCCCTTCCCACCCCCAAGAGGGATCCTTCCTACCACAGTCCACTAGCCATGTCTCTGAAGCCCTCTTGGGTGAGTAAGCACTTGGGGAGGAAGTGGCCCTAACAGAACTGTGGGGGTTATAAAACATTCATCTGAATAGTCAAAGGGCTCCTTTATTTCATCTCACAACAACATCCCAATTCAAACAGCAGTTTATACTTTACAAAACGCCTTCTCCTGCATGATCTCGTTTGCCTATCATAGCAGCCCTGTGAGGAAGGAAGGACAAAGCTTAAACTCTGGCCCAACAGGATGGCAGAATGATATGCTTGTGTTCACATGGGCTGTTTCAAGGCAGGGCTGGAAGGAGACCTCCTTCCTCCTGATGCAGCCCTGCTCTGTCTTCCCCGTCACACTGCCTCTCATGCTCACATCAACAGCAAATCCCGAGACTTAGCAACGTGGCTCATCCAGGCTCCTCTCTGCCCAGGGAGCCCTTATCAGGAGCCCTGATTTTAAGGCATTCCCGGTTCTGGGGTGGGGGGGGGCATCCAGGTACTCAGTCAATCCTCCATGCTGAGCACAAACTTCCCCACCACCCCTGATACATCAAGGTCAGATGTGCTTGAGGTCAAGAGATATGTTTTCACAGTGGCCATCAGCACTTGTCACCCTGTCTATCACCAGATGTTCACAACCTTGGTTCCCACTTGGGAAGTGACGGTGACAAAGTGCCCAAGAGAGCAGGGTTTCAGGGAGTGCTAAGGCCACTTGCTGCTTGGTTGGCTGGAGAGGGGCTTAGCCTCAGCAATTACTGAGGACTCTGGGATCCTGTTTTAGCTATCATGACACTGCACAAAATTGTAAAGCAGTGGCTCATTTTAAAAAACACCAAAATAACACTTTGAAGGGTCACTACCATTCATCTCCCTTCTCTCATACTAAGTCAACATTCGACAACTTTACCATCTTCGTTACTGTCACTACTGTGAATGAACACTGTTCAATGCCTGACATACAGTGCTGCTAATATGGCGAATGAATGATGGAATGAACGAGACCAGCCCCCTTAGGGCTGGGACCTGCCCTCCAGACCCCTCCCAGCTCCCCGATGACCCCCACTTTTGTGGCAGTCCCTGCCAGAGTAAGCATCAGGCCCTAGTCCAGGACCTGGGATACAGACATGAATAAGACATCGACCCTACCCTGACAATCCCTCAACCACTCTGGGCCACCATTTCTTCCTGTGCAAAAGGAGAGAACAGGGTTAGACATGTGGTCTCTGGGCCCATGGAGCTTAGGGCATTGGTAACTGGGTGTTCAGGGTCTCATGAAAATCCAGTCTGCACCCTCCCAAGGCTGTACAGGGATGGTAATCTAATTTTTCACTTTTGGCTGGTATTTCAGCACCTCTCAGGATGGTTAACACTGGTTCTCTCCTGCTGAGAAATTCTTACTAATAGTTTGACTACAAGAAAATGAGAAAATCAATTTGGTAAGAACTCCTAAGTGATAAATAATAAATGCACTTCCCAGTGGTGAGGTCAGCAGCCTTTTCTAAGTGATGGCTCAGGTCCTTAGTGGGTTTATCACTGGCTTGTTCTAGAATCCCTGGTAAATCAAACCCTATCTGGAAGGCAAGAGGAGGAGCGAGAAAACCCAGGCCCTGGTCACTGGACCCCTAGTTTGGGATATTTCAATTCCCCTATCTGGGTCCGCCCGGCCGGGAAAGTTCCACGCCCGAAATGTGACGTCAGCCCGTTGCCATGGCAGCGAAGGCAGACATTCCGAGGTGACCTCACTGCAGAACCAGGCAGCTGTCACATGACGAGCCGGCCAAAGTCCGGCAGGGCGACAGAGGGCCACCTGTTAAGTGAACCTGGTAGCCCTGACCCCGCCCGAGGCCGAGCTCCTAGAAGGTGGCGGCCTTGGGCCGGACGCCGGGCTGGCCGCGTGGCCCCCGGGACTCCAGGCACCC